TTTCCCCTGAGGTTTAGGGGCTGGTGAGCGTGGCCGTTCATGTCTGCGTTGCGCTGCCGCAGCAAGTGCGAGGCTATTGCTCTTAGCCGAGAGCAGGGGGCTCGAACGCAAGCTCCGGGGCTCGAACCCAAGCTCCAGGGCTGTCCTGCTGCCTGAACACACCCCTCGTAGCTTCTGAAACGCTCCCCCGGATCAGTTATTTGCAGCCAAGCGGCACTTCTGTAGGTTTGCATGCTTCCAGGGGGATCATGCACGGGTTAGGTGCTTGGCAGTCAGCCTGCCCTTCCTTCCCGTCTTCATCGTCAGTAGCTCTAGAATTTGCAGTTGCACGGAGGAAATAGAGTAGTGCTCTGTAAGGCATCACTGTGAATGCCTCGCAAACGGACAGCTGTGAATTCTTGTAGATTGCACCTTCGATAAAGAGTCGGAGCTCACCCCGCTTGAATCAGCGATCGGCGTCCTGGAGCTCATTCAGAGAGAATTCTCTGTGGCTGAGAAGACGATGGAAACTGTTCAGAAAATGGTGAAGGAAGCTGTAAGACCTTTTTCTTTTTCAGTAAATGCTCTGCTTATCTTTTGTCTTAGAAAGGTCTTGCGTAAATGATGGTGGGAATTGCCTCGCCTGTAAAATACCGTCGTTAGTACTGGCTTGGCCACAAACGCCTATCTTCAGTGTATGCGCCTCTTCGTCAGTTAATGTAGAAGGTGTTTCTCTGCATCAGTTGGTACTAAGCTGTTACCTGTGCCGTGCTTGATTACGATACGTGCTTTTCCAAAGCTGATCTAGAGACTATGGTCAGTTCAGCGTCAGCAGAGAAACTGGTATTTGTTTTCTTCTGTAGGCTGTTATTGTCTGCATCAAAAACAGAGAGTTCGAGAAAGCTTCAAAAATTGTCAAGAGACATATGGGGAAGGAGCCCAGAAGCCAGGTGAGTCTGCGCCAGAATGAGAGACGGCTGTTTGAAAACTGTCCGATAGGTCTTATGGGGAGCGGGGATATTTGGGGGTGGTCTGATATGTCTTACGGGGTATTGGCGGGCAGGGGGGTGCTTGTGACACGTATCGCAGGCATAGATGGTTTCCCTGGGAAGCGTGCCTCTTGGGGAAACCTGAAGGAGAAGAAAGGGTAAGGGTGATGAGATGGAAAGAGTCCCCCTTGAAAGGGGGCCCTCAGCGTTGCGTGTTTCTAAAGCATGTCGATCGTCACTTTGGAGCTCCCTCTGTTACTCGTGTTCCCTCAAGTATCTTCATGGGTCTTCCAGGCATCAACACTCATCCTCTGCCTCAAGGCAGACTCAAGCTCCCATGTAGAGCACGAGTTTGTAAGAAGAGTTGGTTCTGAAAGCAGAAAGAATTCCTGTTTCTGTGGGCGGTGTAGCGTCTTGGGCACTGGACGCAAAAACTCAGAGTTGCTGAAACAACTCTGGCCTTTTCCCAGCCTTATGTCAGCATAAATTGGTTGCGCCCGGAGAATGTCAAATGGGAAAGGCCCGATCCTCGCACAGATCCCAGCTCCCGCAGTTGTCATTTATACCCTTGTACCTATTCAGAGTATTCTTACCTCTCCTCTAGAAAAAGAGGAACGAGTTGCTGGCTGTCATCCGGGAGAAGAATTTCAGTCATCCAGTAGTCAAAAACTTCTCTTACAAGGACTTCCAGCAGAACATGTTTCAGTTCCTGAAGACCTATGTGGACGACTCAGAGCCACTGCTGCTAACGGTACATGTCTGCCCTGCGTACCGGGCTTCCCGTCCTGCGCTTGCTTCTGCCCCAGCGAGGGGCAGCAGGAAAGCAGCAGGAGGTGCAGATTTGGGGAGAACTGACGCTTACTTTGCCACGAGGCAACGAAATACAGTGATTTGGCTTCTATGTGCCTTCTGTGCCAGTAATGAGTTAGTGTTTAGGCACCTAATTAACAGTGGGTTAAATCCAAAATACTTTAAATTTGGTCCATTCCTAAAAGGTTTATACAGTTGAACACATTTTTCAATCCGTGTAATGAGTTTTAATTGATAGACACGAACTCTGTATGTGGTGCCGATTGAACTGCAAGTAGCAGCTTAAAATGCCTTTGGGAGGGGATAAAATCGGATGGTACTGTGAGGAATCACCTTTATAATGGTTATGTGTTTTTTTTCTCTGTCCAAGATAATCAAAAAGACTTTGAATTCGGAACATGCCCAAGAACCAAAGTACTCATCAGGGACTCCTGAGTCTGCAAATGGGCCCAAGGACCAGGCAGCGGCTCGGGAGCCCTCGGGAAGGGCACAGGGCCGAGCAGGAGCTCCAGAGCCTGCAGAAACGGCAAAAGACCCGGAGGGTACTCCCAACCCTGCAGAAGGGGCAGATGACCCAGCAGCAGCTCCAGAGCCTACGGAAGGAGCTACTGACCCAGCAGCAACTCCCGAGCCTATGGAAGAAGCTACTGACCCAGCAGCAACTCCTGAGCACATCACAGCAGCAGATAACATCTTGGAAGATGCTTCAGAGCCTATGGAAATATCGAAAGAACCAGCAGCAGCAGCTCCCGAACTTGCAGGAGTGTCCTGCAGGGACTCGGAAAGGTGGGCAGAGGAATCTGGCCCTGCGTTGTGGATGAAGTGTGGCAGCAGTTCTCTCCTGAGGGGTACTTTGCTCTGTCCAGGCAGCTCTTAACTTCCCTGAATGCCAGCCCAAGCAGGTCTGCCCAAGCAAACCCCAAAGGCTATCGGTGCAAGACTTCTGTAAAGTAAAAATGTTCAGGTGGTTTGGTTTTTTTCTCTGAAGATGTGTAGGACTGTAGTAAACTAGGGAGGGCGGGCAGCGGCTGCCAGAAGGCTTGCTCTCGTGGAGCAGCATTTGGTATCTGTGTGGTTCAGCCCTTAGTCAAGAATAGCAGGGCATCCGTGGAGCATGGGCACGTCCTCTGCTTCCCCGGTACACCGCACCGATTAGGAGGAGGGCGGACCGAAGGGTTGGGAGTGCCCTCTTCAATAGATTTTATTTGCGCCCTAGGGTTAATTGTTGAGGGGCACAGCGCAGGGGAAAAGCCTGATTTCAGTGGAGTGGAGCCGCCTTGGTGATGTCTTTACAACCTGCTCAGTTGTGTTTATTTTGTAGGCAGCCCTCTGGAACCGTAACCGCGTATGGGATTTCTGTTCTGAGAGAAGCTTTCAAGATCCTGTCGGACTCCCAGGATTCTGACGCACTCTTCGCCAAACTGGACGAAACAGACTTTTCTTTCCCCAAGCAACTGTCTCCTTCTGTATCCCACAGAACCAAGAGACGGAAAGAAGAGGAGAATCAGGATTCTGAGATCTCAGACCCTCCTAAAATACCCCATAAGGGCAAACGCTTGTTGACCATAAGCAAACTGGTCATGGAGCAAGACACCCAGTACAGCGAGTCGAGTGAGAGCCCAGACTCTTCCCAGGAGCCAGTTGTATCTTCTGCTTCCAGACCTGTTCAGAAATTGCATGACCAGCCTGTATCTACTAAGAGTGCCAAGTATGAAGCCCATCTCTTGTGGTATATTCTAATCTGCACCCAATCTTTTGACTTGCAGCTGACATCGGTAGCATGAACAACAAAAACCTTTATCTTTAATTCAAGATGAGTATATTGACCATTTTTGGCCGCTAGCATATGTGGAGCTGGGCAAAGTAAACACCCTGTTTTCCTTACACTTTACTGTTTGGTTAATGGGGAGGAGAAAATGATGCAGCTGCCACTGGCAGCGAGTCAGAGGTGCTGCAGTTAGTTTTGGTAGGTGATTCCAGCATGCGTATTGCAGGTAACGCGTGCTTCTCTGCGCTTCGTTTAGTGATGCTGAAGCTGGAAAGAGTTCGTAGGCGCGTCTCGTGGAACAGATTAAACTGTCCTTTCCACCTCTTGAGAAATACAGCGCTGACCTTGCTTAAGCTCTTTTTTCCTGTAAACTGTGTTGGTTAAGAAACTCCTAGTTGTAGCTTTCTGACTGTTTCTTCAGTCCGAGTTGTCACTTGCCTTGCAGCTGAAATGACTGCAGTAAGAGGTAGGGGTATGTTAGGGTTTTTTCCTTTTTATAAGGATTTCCCACAGAAAATGGCAAAGTGGGCTTACCAGCAGAAGTCTAAAATTAACTAGACTCTTAAGCTGAGTCTCATGACTATCTCCTGTGGGCCGTAACAGGGGTGTAACAAAGGTTCCTGCTTAAATGTCTGTGTTGCTCTTCTTTTGCTTAGCGAAGTTGCATAGCAGCCAGCAATAAGGATGTTTTGGATCCCCAGGAGTGAAACTGGGAGGATTGAGGAGAGCTTGATGTGTTTGAAAAGATAACTAGAACACAAGTTCCCTTAGTTCCTGGCTTAAGAATGTCAACACAAAGGTTTGGTTTTGAAGGGCGGGCAGTAAAGATCCCGGTGGTCTGTGCAGCTTGGCTGCTCTGAGATGGATCCTCTTTGAAGCACAGGGGAGCGGCAGCAAGTAGAGGTGTGCTGCAGTGTAGCTGGCATCGATGCAAACAGCGGTGAAATCTCTCGGACGCCTGGCTGTGTGTCTTGCTCAGGGTTAAGCTAATTGTCAGAGATGACGCTGAGAAGGGATTTCCACACCCACTCCCCCATTGTCTGCTTCTTCGAGGCATCTGGGAATTTTACTTCATGAATTTCGTACGTTTTCAAGCACTTGGAAGTGGTGACGCTTGATTGCTTCTGCTTTTTTCCAGTTGCAGCTGACGTTGCTGTCCCTAGGATATGTCTGGAGTTTATTGTGGGGTGCTGGGGAACACCGTGGGGATAGGATGATGTTTTGTGAGCTCCTCCAGAGCAGAGTGCTGTGGCTGACTGCAGTGGGAAGGGGCCGGACTCGGTGACTCGAGTGCGACGCCTTCCCGACCTGTGCTAGGTGCCCAAAGTGAGGGTCGGTGCCGGATCAGGAAGGAGCCCGGAGTGGGGCTGCTGACGCTGGCTTGAGCAGTTCTCAGGTTCAAGCCCTGCCACTGTGCAAGTTGGTTTCCAGTTCAGCTGGAAAGTGATTTATTGTCTGTGCTGCTTGTGTGGATGTTTTGTCCTGAAGCCTTTAAGTGTCAGGACTCTCTTGGTAGCAGTGGTGCTAATGACATCTGTCTGGAGATCTGATCCTGCGCATCTCTGCCAGTAGCTCGTTCTCAGATGTTTGCGTGCAAGAGAGAGGCGCTGAACAGTGCAACTTGTAAGAATAGAGAACAGTATTTTCCTGTAATTGCAAATGGCTTCAATTAGACTGGATGTGACAGCCAGGGATGAACCTTTTGAAGGTTTTTTTTTAACAGACTTAATTTCATCTCCCAAGCTTGTGCGTGAGGATTGGAAGCAGGTGACAGCACTGAGGCACTTGTTCTGACAGAGAGGCTTCTGGTGCTCGGTTGGCCTCAGTAGTGTTAGTAGTGAAACAGTAAGAATTTAAATGCTTCTTGGGGAGACTAAAGGCGTCTGGCCTGAGCTGTTGGCAAGCCTGTGCCGTACACGAAGGCCTGGGAAGTCCAGCTATGTGTGTCTGTTTGCTGTAAGCGCTTAATTGTGTAGTTAATACCCAGACACTTGTTTTTGCAAATGCTGGCTACAGAATACAATACTCCACTTGTAGTTGCGTATATATGGCACGCCATACCTTCAGACAGGGGCTCCGAAGGATTCACCCCCCTCAGAGGGGAGCGGAGGAGGTGGCGGCGTGTTTATGTATTGCTTTATGGCTGCATTTCCCTGCATTGCGTGCTCATCGCAGGCCTGCCTGCTGTGCTCCAGGTGTCCCTGCACCTTCTCCCCCTAAAACATTCTCCCTAGCCAGTAGCCAAAGTAAATGCTTGCCTGTTTTCAGGTCCTTCCAAGGAAGGTGGAACAGCTTGTATGGCGAAGAAGAAAAAGACAGTTGGAGTGAGGAGGACGAGCTCTTCTCAGATGCGGGTAAGAACGGAGCCCCTGCCACAGGTGTTAATTGATGACGATCCTGGCTTTGGGGCTCATTCACGGGTGTCTTGCTACCTTCCGTGTGACTGAAGTTTGCAACCAGACATCCTAAAAGCCCAAGAAAATAGGTGTCTGTCCAACTCTGAGATATTTATTCTTTGTACCTCTGACCTGAAATGCATGCTAAAAACTTCTGTTCAAGTTTCAGACTGACCACGCTTAGCTTACGGGATGTAAATATTGGAAATACAGCTCTTTCCCTGTTCCCACTGTAGTGCCATGAAATAAAGGTTAAGTTTACCTTTTCAGCTGGATCAATTTTCCAGCCCAGTTCCCTTTGCAGCTAGATACGCAGCTTAGCTGGTGAAAAGTAGCAGACAATGGATGTCTAATTCCAGCCTCAACGCACAGCGTAGCCACATCCTGGATGGGTGCCCCTGTTCTTGATGTATTGGCTAGTTTAAAACAAAACAGGTCTTACTGGAAAGCTTTCACATAAAGCAATTGAGGCTCAGAACGGAAAGGCTGTGCATGCTATAGCTGCAGAAAAGGGAGGGATAAAGGAATTTGGTTTTACTGCCTGTCCCGTTGTAGGCTGACTGCACAGTTCAGCAGTTAAGCCCAAGGCAGTCTCTCGAGGAGGTCTGTGCCTCCTGAGTTATGGTGGAAGGTAATCCTCTTGCCTTGTTTTTCAGCATCATTTGGGACAAACAGCCACAATGCTACAGTCTTCGGTTCCAAGAAACAGGTAATGTGGAGCCCTTAAGTCCTTTCAGTAAGGCCTGAAATTGGGACGTGTTCGTATAGAAGAGCAAACTGTCAGACGATTTGCAATATGTTGGTGAGGATACTCTGCTGCTCAGCAGCCTGCGGTTCGCTGCAGCAGGGCGAGCTGCTGCGGTGTGTTAAATGAAGCACCGGAGGCTGGGTTGGAAAGCGATGCTTCCTGAGGCCGATGCTTGCAGTGCCCAGGCTTGATCCGAGTTGTGCAGGTCTTTGCATTCGCAGAGCTGGCTGGCGGCTCTCTGGTAAAAGAGCCCGGTTTGGCCGTTGGCTAAAGCGGTGCGCATCCCACACGCAGGCACCGGGTACACGTGCGAAGTCCCTTGTCCTTGATGCGCGTGGTTCAGAGCTAGGTTTGCCGGGTTCCCCACGCGCTGGGGAGGTTCGGCATCTTGTTCGGGTGAGGGACGCGCATGCGGCAGCTGTCCCCGGGAAGAGGTCCCAAGTTTGGTGCTGCTAGGAACTCTCTCGCCCTTGCTTGTAGGAAGATTGCTGCTGGCTCTCGTGCTGCAGTACACCACGTAGCACTTTGTTCCTGGTAACTGCTTGCTTCAATTATTTTGTGTTTTGCCTCCAGTACAAAAATTCAGGGGACCTGCAGACCTGAACTTGCAGATTAACACTCTGCTTGTATGCTGTTGGGCAGGGCGTAGGCAGCGAGTACTTTGTATCTCTGATGCCTGCTGTTGCATCAAAGGGTAATTCCTCTTTTACGTGATCAGTACTGTGCTTTGAGAAGCAGAACTACTCCTGAGCTCGTGCTGGAGCTTAGCGCTTCTCTTATTTGTAAGAGTTTTATGAGAGCACATCTATAGTGAAGTGATTATCGAGTGTCGTGTGTGCTACTGACAGGACGTCTCTGCTAACATGCTTGCAAGGAGATACAGCACGGTTCTCTGCCAAGTGCAACCCCTCCCTGAAGTGGCACTCTGTACTCACAGAGCGCTGCTTACCCGCTCTTTTGTAGAAATGGACGATACAGGAGAGCGAGTGGATCAAAGATGGCGTGAAGAAGTTTGGCGAAGGGAGATGGAAGGCCATTTGCCAGAAATACCCCTTCCAGAACCGCACGGCAGTGATGATCAAGGACCGCTGGCGGACCATGAAAAAGCTGGGAATCCTCTAGAGTTGGGAGCCACAAGACCTTCAGTGCAAAAACGTTCTGATTTTTCTTCTGAAAGATGGACCAGAGCAATAGTAGCGGGGAAGCTGCTGTGCTCATCCCTGATGTGTGTTGGGGCCGGCGTGGTTGAGCCCCTCTGCCTCGTGGTACCCAAGGCTGCAGCAGCAGATGGAAACCGTGTCTGACAAGAACTGAGGAGCCTCGTGTCTCGAGTTGTAACTGCAAGGTTTAGGTCTTCTGCAGTTGCCAGAAGCCGCGCAGCCTGATTGCACATGCTCGGAAACGGTCTGGATTGGGACTTTTCCTTTTCCGCATGACAACTGCAGCCTTTGTAGAATGGATCGCAACCTGATGGCTGCTGAAATGGCAGTTTTCTCTGCTCACATGCTGTCAGATGGCAGGATAATCCCATCAGTGGCTATTTTTATGTGTTTTAATTGTCGAAACTGTGAATCACTTGTTTCATCCATTTGCACTCAGTCCCTTGTGGGAGAGAGGCAGCACATAGTCCCAGAGCTTCTGGGGACAAGAGATTTAGGCAAGGTGATCTGCTTTGAATTTTTTTTTTTTTTTCCCCACACACATTTCTTTTCTGCTTTGTACCTGGCTAGTCTGCGAGTGGGAATTTCCCCCTGCCAGCTTTGAGGCTTTAAAAACATTATTTCTTTTGTTTCAGTATTTAAATGTTGCTTGTTCCTATGTTAAAAGTTCCGGTGCTTACTGATTTTGGTCCTGTCTTACTGGCACTTCTCCTTCCTGGTAACATCCTCCTCCTGTGTGCAGTCCCTGCAAGTGTGTGAGCTCTGAGGGTGCTGCGTGTTTCCTGCCTTCAGGTGCCAAAGCTGGAGTCCATATCTGAATGGTCTTCTGTAAAATAAAGTTCCTTTTTTGTTGGATATCAAGAGTTGTAATAAGTGTGAACGTGTACGGGTGGAAATGCAGCAGTTTGGGGCAATGGCTGCTCACTGCAGCGTGCACCACGCCGGGACCGTGGGGCTCGCCGTCCGCCTGTTTGGGGTGGAACAGCGGTGCCCTGAAGGTATGAGGTATGAAGCATGAAGCAGAAGCTTCTGGACTAGATTTCTGTTGAAGTCAAAGGGCGGGAGAGGTATGGGGGCACTTTCACCTCTCGGCTGTGTTCCTGCAGAGCCAGGGCTGGGAGAAGTCTGTTTGGGAACACCTGCTTCCCCTCTGTCCTTCAGCAGCAGCTGCTGGAATGTGTGTCCCTCATCACCTGGCTGTGGCTGCGTGTTTCCCTCCCCTTCTGCTTGTAAAACCGTTTCCCTGGGCTTGGAGCAGCCCGGGGTAGACAGGAGCACCCTGTGCTTGCAGAGGCCCGCTCCGGGCCGGAGAGGCTCGATGTGAGCCGCAAGCTGGACTGGTAACTGCCGGGGTGAGGCAGTGCCCGTCGGTCGTGCCCGGATGGAAGGAGACGTGTTCACGCTGCGCGGGGCTGCGCCCGTTCTTCCCTTCCCTGCGGAGCCCGGCTGCGCAGGGAGGGTATCGCAGCCCCAGGCAAACCGCTGGTGTGCCGGGGAACGATGCGGGCCCTGTTTGCTCAGCCTGCGTAGGGCTGTGTATGTTTCTTGGAGTAAAACGCTTTTCCTGTTTAATTTGCTTGTTCAGAAGACACGGACTGGCAGAGCGTTGGTCAGCGAGGAGAGCGGGGCTGGCCGGGGACCGGCTCGGTGTGGCCAGGAGATGCTGCTGGTGACTGCGGTGCTTCTTCGCAGCAGCCTCGGCCTCTGCAGAAGGGCTCAGCTGGGTGAG